TACCTGCATGCCTGTCTGCTTGTCTTTGTCTGTCTGTGTCTGTCTCTCTGTCTGCCTTTGTGTGTCTACCTGCATGCCTGTCTGCTTGTCTTTGTCTGTCTGTGTCTGTCTCTCTGTCTGCCTTCGTGTGTCTACCTGCATGCCTGTCTCTTTGCCTGGCCACTTTTCGAGAAGCCTATGGCTACATCCTGCGGGAAGGTGGCGCTGGACATCCCACCTGGTCCACATCCAACCCAGCCCTTCTGTAACATGAAAACCACACCCATGTCCAACATACTTTCACGCAGAAGCAGAAGTGTGAGCCGAAGCGAATTTGCCAAACTGGTGTTTAATTACTCTGAAAACCCTGACACATAAAACCCATGCAGGTGTAGGTGACAAGAGCTCACAGAACAACATTGGCAAGTGGAAAACCATCCTTGTGAGGGCATATTTCTGCTCCCGCGTGCAAATGGGGATGATAATAATAAACAACTATGTTTCCGGTTTATGCATTTACTATACTGTATTTTTACAGGCATGTTACAGTGTATTCTTTTTCACTTAATCAAAAGGAAAATATTTACAGTAAATAATATGCCGTACCATAGTATGTAAGTACATTCCATGGTTCAAATTACGGGGGAGCTAAGGGGAGCTCGGCTAACCTAACCCCTAACCTAACCCCTACACAACCCAAACCTTAACCATAACTAACTGAAAAATAAACAAGAATTTTGGCATTTCTTGCACCGCAAAATGCTTTTTGAGGTATTTGTAGAGTTAGTCCATTTTCCCAACACGGCTAAAGCTGTGAAATACCCAATGCATCGAGGGAAAGAATCATAAATTTTCATAGTCAGGGTTTGCCACCAGACTTGATATGAGGCACACTACCATGCACTACATCATTCAGAAATTCAAGATGACTGGTGAAATCATTACTCTGGAGGGAAGAAAGAGAAAAAGAAGGACCAGTCCAAGGACAGACAGGTACATCAAAGAGCTTGCCATGAAAAACCGAAAGTTGTCTGCTACACAAATTGCAAAGCAACTTAAGGAGGCTACTGGAATTCAGGTTTGCACACAAACAATAAAGAGGGTGCTGAATAAACGTTGTTGTATGGCAGGGATCCTCGTAAGAAGCCATTTATAAGTAAAAATAACAAACTGAAACATCTGGTATTTGCCAAAGAACATGTTGAGAAGCCTATCAGCTTCTGGAAATCAATTGTACAGTCTGATGAATCGAAATTTAACATGTTTGGATCAGATGGTCGTAAGAGAGTGTGGCGCAACTCAAAGGAGGCGGACAGACCCCAGTGCTGAAATGCGACTGTCAAGCACGGTGGTGGGAGCGTGTTGGTTTGGGGGTGCATGGCAGCTTCCGGTGTTCACAATTTTTTTGAAGGCATCATGCATTCTGAGGTGTATGAGGAGATGATCTACTCAGATGATCCTATCTGCTGCTAAACTGCTTGGACGTCGCTACATTTTCCAACAAGATTAACAACCCCAGGGACACTGCAAAGCATGTGAGAACTTTCTCACCAAGAAGGTGAAAGTCCTTGAGTGGCCCCCACAAGGTCCGGATCTCAATCCTACTGAGCACCTCTAGGTTGAGATGGAGAGGAACTGCCCAGCAGATCCACAAAGCAACAAACAGAAGTTGAAGGACATGCTCCGGCGCACAGGGGAGAGCCGTGACCCAGACACTGCTACCCGGGAGACTGTATGCTGTTACAGCCAAAGGAGGGCCGACCAGATACGGAGCAGGACTGTGAGAAAAATCCAATGGCCAGGTGTAAATGTAATTGTTTGAAGACAATACATTTCATAATTTGAAAATAATTCCAGAATATGTTTTGAATAAAAGTTTTTCTTGTTTGTTTACATAATTATAACAGTTTTTTAAAATTTGTTCTAAAATATCCTAAATTTTATTTGCATTTTTGACCATTTTTTCCAAAGTGCACAAATACATTTTGGCTGCACTGTATGTTTATGTCTATTTGCTGGTATTTCTGTCTCTCTGCCTGCCTGCTTAACTGCCTGTCTGTCTCTCTGCCTGCCTGCTTAACTATCTGTCTGTCCCCACCTGCCTGTCTGCCTCTCTGCCTGCTTGCTTAACTATCTGTCTGTCCCCACCTGNTCTGTCTGTCCCCACCTGCCTGTCTGCCTCTCTGCCTGCTTGCTTAACTATCTGTCTGTCCCCACCTGCCTGTCTCTCTGCCTGCCTGCTTAACTGTCTGTCTGTCCCCACCTGCCTGTCTGTCTCTCTGCCTGCCTGCCCATCTGTCTGTCTGCCTGATTTTCTGGCTGTCTCTCTAATTACCTGTCTGTCTGTCTTCCTGGGGAGAGGCTGATCGTTGTCCATCTGCCGCTGGCACTGATTTTACAGGAAGGAGCCCCAGGCTCAGGGTCCCCCAGCACCATATAAACACAAATGCAGTCCCTGCTGTTCAAAATTTAACCTTACTTGCTTAAAATTTGACAAAACTCAAACCCACATCCTCGACACTTATTAGGAAGCCCATTGTCGATCCCTTGAAACCGTGTTTTATGCACATTCTTCTGCTGACTTGTGGGCCTCCTTATGTTCTCTTCCTAGAGCAGTCTGAGGGTGACGTGGATTTATTAATGGATTTATTCACTTACACACAAATGTGCTGCATATTTTCACGTGTTAAACTGAAGATTAGTCCAGACACAGGACTGGACAGTCACCCACCTCTTATACACTTACTATATTTACATTGCGCCGTGTTTATGTGTTCTTGTATTTATTGTCTTACTTTAAGCACCATAATTTAAATTGTGATTTGTGGTTCATGGTTGCTGACTGACGAACTGTTTATGATGACAAACTCTTGAATCCTGATTCTACAACCCCAGTCAATGAATCCAAACCAGGAACTAAACACAATTCTTCTGAAAAATTTATATAATATTTGCTAACCAAGACATCATATTATCTGCTTTGCACAGGATTTACCCATGTCCACTGCAGGGCCAGTGTGCAGCAAGCACTTTGAGGGAAACTAGTAATCAGCCAATCCTGCTGCCTTATTTTTACCATGGTTCAAATTCCGGAGAGTGTGTTCAGGAAGTGATGTAATGCTGTTCCCTGTTCAGGAAAGCCCAAGCTAAGTCCTGCCTCCTGGCCTCCATGGTTGTCATGTGCTTTATCACTGCGTGGCAACGAGGCTGCCGGCCAGCTCCTCCGACTGCACGACATCACCATGGCAACTGTGTCCATGGGATGGAAGTGAGGGGGAGTATCACAAACAGCACAGAGTAGCACAGAGTCGCTGTAATAATCAGGAGCTTCTGCTGATGCTTCGTCTCCTTTCACCAAGAACCCCCCCCCCCTTACTGCCACATCAGCCAGACACCACAGAACTGCTGCAAGTGCGGTTCTGACCCATTTGGAAAGTGTGGGCTGAGCCAGGCAGGACAGCCTGGGGTTCTGATCTGCACCCTGATCCGTACTGGCTTTCTGACAAGAAAAGATATTTTGGGAAACCTGAACTCATTAAAAGGATGGCCTCATCCACTGTGATAATTCCTGACCCTACAGACACTGTGACCTTACAGGACCTGCAGACACCGTGACCTTATAGGTCTCCACAGAAACCATGACCTTTCAGGATCCTACAGACACTGTGACCTTACAGGACCTGCAGACACCGTGACCTTATACAGTAGGTCTCCACAGAAACCGTGACCTTTCAGGACCCTACAGACACCATGACCATATAGGTCTCCACAGAAACCGTGACCTTTCAGGACCCTACAGACACCGTGACCTTACAGGTCCTGCAGACATCCTTACTGTACAGGATCCCGCAGACACAGTGACCTAATAGGTCTCCACAGAAACTGTGACCTTTCAGGACCCTACAGACACTGTGACCTTACAGGACCCCACAGACACCATTACAGTACAGGATCCTGCAGACATCAATACGGTACAGGACCCTACAGACACCATTACAGTACAGGATCCTGCAGACACCGTGACCTTTCAGGACCCTACAGACACCATTACGGTACAGGATCCTGCAGACACCGTGACCTTTCAGGACCCTACAGACACCATTACGGTACAGGATCCTGCAGACACCGTGACCTTTCAGGACCCTACAGACACCGTTACAGAACAGGATCCTGCAGACTCCGTGACCTTTCAGGACCTTACAGGAGTAGGGAGGGGTGACCTGACAGCAATAGGACAGGAGGTCAGTTGTCATGCTGACACAGCTGTAGGTCATGCAGCCACACTGGCAGCTCTTCTCTCTGATCCCTAATTGATGCTGAACAATCACTTTGCAGGCACAACAGCTGTAAAGGTTGGAGGTAAGACAACACGTGCTGACAGCACAGGAGCTAAACTGGAGGCTGCAGCATCCAGGAGCCCCACATGGGGGCAGTGGGGAGTCTGCATGTCATAAAATTTCACCTTCTGACAAAAGCATCAGTTCACAGGAGGTGGCAGTGCATTCTCCACGCAGGAGGGCTGACACAGTGTAGCTTTTCATGAAGCAGGACTCTGCCTTCCCCAGGAGCAGCTTGAGACACGCCTGCTCCTCACGCATGGAGACCAGGGCTGAGCCTCCCAAAGTTGAGCCTCCCACACGCTGGCATTCAGCCACTCCAGAAGGGTGCTCACACAGGTCCTCACACAATGAGCTATGGGCAGTACCATTCTCCCGGGGAAGGCCAGTGGCTCCATGGCGTCTCGAGAGTGAAGCAGCACAGAGCCACTTCAACCTGCTCAAAGCACATCTAGTTCACCCATTTATGTGGGATGATACATAGCAATGGGAAAGAGGAATCAAATGTAGGTGGTGAAGCCCCCATAACTCCCCAATCCCTACTCAACCACCCCTGAGGAAGGTGCTGCAATAAGGTGCTGGAAGTGTGGAAAACACTCTGTGGACAAAAGCTAGAGAGTGTCGCTGACTCAGTGGATCCACAGCTCCCACTACCTCCGAAAATTGGCCTCCTCTAGCGAGGAGCAGGATGGCTCCCCCAACCACCCAGCACGGTACTCCTCCAGCAAGGAACAGGAATGGCTTGCCTGACCTCCCAGACCAGCTTCCTCCACCAAGGAAAAGGAACAGCTCCCCCAACCTCCCGGACCAGTCTCCTGCAGTGTGAAGCAGGAATGACTCCCCCAAACTCCCAGACCGGGGTCGTCCGGTGAGGAGCAAGAACAGTTCCCTGACCTCGAAGGCCGGCTTCCTCCAGCAAGGAGCAGGAACAGCTCCCCTGACCTCCTAGGCTAGACCTCCTCCAGCGAGGAACAGGAATGGCTCCCATGACCTCCCAGGCCAGCCTCCTCTGGCAAGGAGAAACACAAACTTTCTAGCTTATTTCAGATAAATGAGCAAACCTTCAGATGCTGGTGGAAATGACATATGCACACAATAGTTCCCAGTTGTCCTTTCCTCCTCCTCCCTCCCATTATCACTCCTTTCTGTCACTTTGCCCTCCTATTCTCCCTCCTCCCTCACATCATCACTCCTCAGCCCACCCTCCCCCCTCTTTCTTTTTAATCAGCCAAACATCCCTGACTATCTACAGTGTTTCACTATACCTTCATGCGCAAAGCATAGCAATGACTCGTGGATCTGTGGCAGAGGCTGGGGGCCCAGAAATAAACTTCAGGGTGGGGGGTGAAGCTGTAAAGTGGGTCCTGGCCTAGTTACTACTCTCCGAAATCCGTAACAGGGCCCCAATTAAGCGCATGTCTCAGCAGTTATATCGAACACTTTATCTGACAATTTGACCTGAAAGCTTACAAAAATGTCTCGATAGTGTGAGAAGCAGCCATGTTGGGCTTTACCGAACCACCCCCCGGCCCCACCCCTGAGAGCCAGGACTCAGCTGATGGTCACTCCTCTCTACCCATCACTTAACACACTCCTGTTAACTTTGGGTTCAGTGAACTTCCCGGGAGCCATTTTCCACCCAATGGCAATGAAAATGAGCCTGGAGAAACATTATTCTGACTACAGAAAGCCAGTACAGTGAGTGACCCCAGGTCTGCAGGCCATCTCACAGACCACGTGTCGGCTAAGGGGATGTGTGCAGTGGCAGCCTCCAGCGTGATGCATGGCTGATCTTCTGACCTTGATACTGAGGGGCCCCATACAGCATCGGGATGGGTTCAAAACCAGTACTGTATCACGACTAGAAGCACAGAAACAGCATCGTTTCACAACTGGCACTGGTACAAAACTAGTATCTCAGAGGTACTGGGACAGACACACAAGCAGCTTTGTATCGATACTGCAAGAAAGTAACAGCAGAGAATGAGGGGATATTTCCACACTGTAAAGTCAAACTTTGAAAGGACGAATTCATTGAGTAAGAAATATAAAACTTCTTCTTTATGGGTAATGAATAACACATTTACGTGACAAAATTAACGATTTCATTTCACTACACAAGTGTAAAGCATAGCACTGAAATAAAACCTGGCTTTTAGTGAAAGCCGCTCGCATACATGGATAAACGCAACATTTGGTAAGAGGAAAAATAATTCAAATCATCAGCACCATCACCTTCAGGCGCCGTATAAAAGCACGCCGAGGATTCTCTCCACCACCCCTGCAGCACTTTGGGAGACGTTACACACTGCACCTTTAACAGCATCCAAAGTAAATGGAAATAATAAAATGCTGATGAACGAATAGCCAGTACTACACTCCGGCTTTGGGACGCACCTCCGCCCCTCCATATCGCTTCCCTCGACGAAGGTAAAGCACAGCCTTTCGACCTGCACCGCCCGAGCCTGCAATCCCATTGCGGATGTTACCGCGATCGCTGCGGGGAATGAGAGCGATGCGGGGACGAAGAAGCAAAAGCCGTCGGCAGGCGGCGCACCGTGACTCAGCTCGGACGCCTGAAAGCCCCGCATACCTCACGCCCCGATCCCGCACGGCGTCCCCTTACCTCCCGCATCACACATCGTTCGCTTTCTACTTCTGCACCATTTCGTACACTGCACTTTTCTTTAGCGTTCCCACAAATGCTCACTTTGTACTAAAGAAAGAAAGACGGGAATCAAATGGCAAGTAGGTTCAAAAATAAAGGATCATCATATTCCCAGCAGGGGTTGTAAAGCCGATTTTTGAACATTATATCCTCCGCTGCTGTGATGCTTGCAGTCCGGGTAAAGTTGGCAATCGTACGCGTCACTGTGCAAAACAGACGTCCGCACATAAGAGGCGAAAAGTCAAAGGCAGATAGGAAAGCAGGAGGGAGGCGGGGAGAGGTACACGCCGATCAGCTTTTAACCCGCTGCCTCCCGAAGCCCAGCCAAGTCTGCCTGTAACCGCCCCCTCCCCAAAACCCAACCGAGTCCGCTATTAACTCTCCTGCCCCCGAAGCCAGGCCGAGTCCGCCACCTCCTAATAATTTAAGCTCTTGGACTCTTGTCGACGTCAAACTTTAACCGACCTGTTCGAGTTTAACGGGGACAAGAGCCTAAGAGATCTATAATGTTCAGCTCCACCGTGCGCAGGGTGCCCCCACACTCCATACCCGACATTTAGATTTAGGTTTTCGAGTGAATTGACTGTGGCCTCATTTCGAATCTGTTCTAGCTTCCCATTCCCTCCGTCTCATCTCATCTCGGCTGCGGTTTGATTTCAGCTTGTTAGACCTCACAGGATAGTAGGAGATGATCAGCTCTCACTTGCGGGCTGGATCATGCGTACATACTGCCCAGCACATGCACCAGTGCATGACAGGGGTCGCCGAGCGCTACCAGCTTCAAGGAATTGGTTTGAGTCAGACGGAGTTGATCGGGGGCGGCTTAATATTGGAGGTGGGCGTGTGGATCATATTCCCATATGACTTTTATTTGTCTTACATTGACCATATACGTTTAATGTGTTGTACCAAGATATACATATACTATCCATATGTGGTCATAAATATTACCATCAGTATCATCCCAGATCACATATCATGTGTGAATCATATATAAAATGGGCCATAATCATACATGATATTTTTCAGTATGGGTGGAACGGAGGCTTTGGCGCTATCTCGTTATATACAGGCTGGAATTTAGGCTTGGGCGATATTATATAGATACAATACTGCTAGTGTTGCCAACTAATTTTCAGGGGAAGTTGGTAAAGGGGGGGGGGGTCTATTTGTTGGTAATGACGTTAATTGTCATTACATGATTATGTCATTACGCAATAATATATAATCGCATCATAGGTTAATCAGTGACGTTAATTAAATTGATTGGCCACCTCGGTAAAAAAATATGATTAGAAATTTGATAGTTTAGATTTGTTTGTTAATTATCACATATTTAATTTTTTTGAAAGTAATATAAATACATTTTTTTATGATCAGATATCTTTATTTTTAAACACAGCGCACTGAATTTTTGCTCAATTGCACATTACACGTCATTGAACAATTACATTTCGTTTATTTTCTTATTAACTAATAATAACCAATTATAGTTTTAATCGGTGTATTGAACATGCTACCTAACGTATCAACAATTATCGGAACACGCTAATAACAGGTTTATCATATATGTGCTAGCAACTTAAATGGTTAAAAGGTCTTCTCGTGGTTTATCCCTTACTTATAATGATACCGGCTGAGTGGTATATACAAATTTATTTGTGATTACAGGTTTACCATAATCCCTGATTTCCACAATAGAATTGGGTGAAACTTTGTGTGGCTACTTGGAAGATATAAAAGAAAACTGAAACTTGGAAATGGAAACATATTATACATTATTATAAAGATTCAAACTCAATGGTTACGTTTTTGTGATTACAGTGTATAAATTCGAATGATCATAACCCTTAATTTCCACTAGGGGTGGGCGATATAACCAAAATCATCTATCACGGTAGAAGCAATTTTCTACCTCGATAACGATATATATCACAATATAGCAATTTGTATCTGGAAATGCATAAATAAAAATT